AATAAAAAAGTTCAAAAGGGTTTTAATTTATTTTTTTTATTGTTTATTTTTATATAAACATTCCATTATCTAATTTGCTCTAATAAACAATGGGCCAAATTGGGATAACGGAGATGCTGTGGGGACTGTATTGAGATAAAGAAAACAATCACATAATTATAACTAAATTATAATTAATAAAAGAATTTTAAACATTGGTAGATCATATTTAAAAACAGATAAAATTATGAATCACAGTCATGGTTAGTAGTAAAAAATGATTTTTTATTAGCAATACGATGTAAAGATCCATCAAATCAAAATAACAAAATAATTTAAAATCATTCGATTACATGTCACATGATGTTACTAATGTAATTATTATTATATTTAATAAGTTTTAGGTTACAGCGCTCATTAAAATATTTCCAAAATTGGCTTTTTCTTTTTTAATATACAAAGGAGGTATTGAATACGATTCACAGAATATTTATAGACGTATTAACTAGGTATCATATGATTGGATGTGTCAATGATGGATCATTCCAAAAATGCAAAGCCCGCTATTTCCGACTGGGTAACAAGCCGCTTGTAATAAACCTTTTCCCCCAACTTTAACAAAAAGGAACAACTTTTTAATTTAAATTCACTTCGTTTTATCTTGTTTTAAATAAATTAACAATACTCAATACATAAGAAGTAATTACTATTAAGCCAGTATAATAACTTAATAACAAAAAAATGAGTAAATATTCACGAGTAAGTTCATATGAGCTTTTAAATGAAGGAAAACATATATTTACGTTACCTGATTACAAGATTAACTTTTTCAAATTTTTAGGTACCTAACGCCGAAGAAGACACTCAAGTCGTTGAACTTCAGGTTCCTCCTTTGGCGGCTGAAGCTTCCACCTCCCGTTCTCCAAGTCCCGTTCCCTCTACAAATAATAATGTTGATAATGAGATAATAGAAACAGAGTCTACACCAATGGTAACCGAAAGTGTAAATGAAACAACGTCTGATGATGATGAAAATCATGAAACCAATGATGGAGGATCTAGATTGTCTATACTGAACAAGATAAAGAGAAAACCAAATGCTACACAACCAGCTGCTTTACCTGTAGTAACTGATGGTGTATTTTCAAACTTATCCGCAAAACCCGATACAGAAGCCGATAAAGAAGAAGAAAATCCACCGGTAAGTCAAGTTGTACTTTTTAATAAAAGTTCATTCAATGATTTTAATATTTTTTTTTTTTGCTTTATTATTAGCCATACGAGGCAGCCGCCGCTGATGCAGCGCCACCTTATTGGGAAACGACTATCATTGCACCAGGGTTAAGTGGTGATGAGATTCTTGTTGAAGGTTTACCAGTAGGGAATTTTTTCAGTTTCATTTGGAATATGCTTGGTAAATATGAGCACTAATTTATAAAGGTCAATTATGTGAATTTGTTAATAAAATTTAAATTTTAAATTTTTTTAGTTTCCATGAGCTTTCAATTCGTTGGGTTCTTGCTTACTTATCTTTTACATACCAGTCATGCAGCCAAGGTAAAAATTTTTTATTGATTTCTGATGTTTTATTATTAATATTTTTATTTTAATATTTTTTTTTATTTTTTTTTATTTTATTTTTAAAAAAAACAAAAAAGAACGGATCCCGAGCCGGTTTAGGTATTACATTGGTACAATATGGTTTCTACCTTCGTGGCAGAACATTACAAGATGATGGCACTTATTATTATGATGATGATATAAATGATAAAGAGATGATGGCTCGTAATGCATGGTTAAGGTTTGTTATATTTATTGAAACTTGTATGCTTTTTTTTTTTTCCTTTTAAAATAATTTCTAATTAAATGTTATTCACGATGATGATGATGATGATGATGATGATGATAATTAGTTATATTCTTATGTTTTTGGGTTGGTTCATTGTTATTCGAAGTGTTTCTGATTTTATAAGAGTTAGAAGGATGGAAACAGTTGTGCGCACCACTCCTGAAGAGAATGTGTAATTCGTTTCTCAAATTTTATCAGACAATTCATTACCAAAAAAAAAAAAAAATAATAATAATATATATATATATATATATTTTTTGTTTTATTTTCTTGTATTATTTCTTTTTTATTATTTTTATTTTTTACTTCAAAAGTTTACCCTTTACATTTTATTTTTTTTTTTCCTCTTCTCTTAAAATAATATAAATCACTGTAAACAATTTCTTCATTTTTTTTTTTTAGTATTGGTTGAATAATTTGTTTAAATGACAAATCATTTTATAATAATGTTCGCAGTAGATTTTTTTCTACTATTAAGTTCCATGTTTAATCGAAGCAATTTAAAAGATCTTTTTTTTTTTTTTTGATGTTCTTTAAATAAAATACTTATGGTAGAGAAATTATAGAAATTTTTAAACATTTCCAAAAGTGATTTATCCGATTATATGTTATCACGTGAAAGTCTAATATTTTACACCATGAATTACCAAAAAAGTCCAAAACAATGAATAGCACGTGTCATGCTAATCAGTCTTGAAAATTCTGCAGTCGTTGGAATAATTTCCATCATTATATCAAAGTTTGTGACACTCCAACAAAACTTAAAAAAAAAAAGGGGAAATTTCTTTTCCCCCAGAAAAGTTGAATCACAAAAGTATAACAAGTTTAATCGATTGGTAATGAATGCTTTCGTTAAATCTGATGGCTCTGAATCTGTTCGCTTTATACTTGTTTGCGCCCCAATAACACAAGTAAGTTAAACCAACTTGTTAAGATTTTTCAATCCTGACTAAATAATTTGCATTATTTGCATTGTTATATCGGATCAAAATTATTCCCTTAATCATGTAAATCATGATCTTTTTTTTCTTTCCAAAAATAGAAATAAATCCTCTCAACTTATGATCAAAAGAATCGAAAAATAATAAGTTGACCGAACCCAAGATCTATATACTTTTTTGTTTAAATTTATTTTTTTACTCAGATCTAATATTTTTTAAGTTTATTACACTGATTGGCATTTATAATATATGTTTTATCTTTGTGTAATCCAATTGAAAAAAAAAAAAAGATTTACCACACTATCGAAACAACACAGCCGTTTCTTATTTTCAAAAAAAGAATTCGTCAAAACTTCTGTTACTTCATCCCTAATATACTGGGAAATTTAAAAAATTCTTAAAATTCTTATACTCACACTTTCTCATAATTAATATATTTTCACGAAAAAGTCACTTTTATTTACTTAACTTCCGCTTCATTAGAAGCTTCTTTTTTTTTTCATTTTATTCATTCTCTTCTTTCTTCTCTTTCATTTTCTTTTCCTTTTTTTATATATTTCTCTTTCTCTTTACCTATCTCAACTGAATATTAAATGTCTGGAAATAACAAGAATAACAAGAATACTGTTGGTGTTCCATATCAAAGCAATGAAGTACACGAACAAATTTCTCATCAACGAAATAGATATGACCAACTTTCAACTCGTCGCTTGTCCAGAGAAGGTCATCATAGCTATACTTTTGTCAATAATTACCTTCGTAATAATAATGTTCCTCGTGGTGAATTCAACAATGATCAAGCTGTTCCTCGACACAATGAACCTTTCAACAGTTATAAATCTTCTCGTCGTAATGAACCTTCCAACGTAGATCAATCTTCTCATCACCATTCCAATGTTGATCAATCCCTTCGTAAAGATTCTTTCAACAATGACCAATCTACTCATTCCCACCGTAATGAAAATTTCAACAATTCTCATCGTCATGAGAAGTTTAACAATGAACAATCTGCATCTCACCGTAATGAAAACGTCAAATATGATAAATTCTGCCGTAATGAAAATTTCAACAATGATTCATCGAATCCTCGACGTAATGAAAATTTCAAAAATTTCAACAATGATCCATCTTTTCCTCGTCGTTTCAACAATCATCCATCTGTTCATCGACGTTTCAACAATGATCCTCGTCGTTTTAACAATGATTTATCGACTTTTCGTCGTAGTGAAAGTTTCAAAAATAATTATTCTGCATCTCACCGTAATGAAAATTTCCAATATTCCCGTCAACATGAAAAGTTCGACAGTGATCAATCTTTTTCTCCTCGCGGTAATAATTTCATAAATGAACAATTTATTCCTCATCGGAATGAAAATTTCACTTGTGGTCAATTTACTCCTCGTCATAAGGAATCTTTCCATAGTGACAAATCCGTTCCTCCACGACCTTTCGGCAATGAACAATCTGCTCCTGCTCGTAATGAAGATTTAAAAAATGATCAATCTGTTTCTCATCGTAAGGAATATTTCAACAATGATCAATCTGCTACTTCTCGCCGCAATGGGAATTTCAACAAAGATCAGTCTGCTTCTCCTCGCTGCAATGATAATTTCAACATTGATCAATTAGCTTCTTTTCGCCGCAATGAGAATTTCAACAAAGATCAATCTGCATCTCTTCGCCGCAATGAGAATTTCAACAAAGATCAATCTGCATCTCTTCGCCGCAATGAGAATCTCAACATAGATCAGTCTTCTTCTCCTCGTCGCAATGAGAATTTAAACATAGAACAATCTGCTTCTCCTTGTCGTAATGAGAATTCAAACATAGATCAATCTGCTTCTCCTCGTCGCAATGAGAATTTAAACATAGAACAATCTGCTTCTCCTTGTCGCAATGAGAATTTAAACATAGATCAATCTGCTTCTCCTTGTCGTAATGAGAATTTAAACATAGATCAATCTGCTTCTCCTTGTCGCAATGAGAATTTAAACATAGATCAATCTGCTTCTCCTTGTCGCAATGAGAATTTAAACATAGATCAATCTGCTTCTCC